CTTTCTTCCTGGTGTCTTTCCTTCTTGTCCTTTCTTAAAAAATCTTTATTTACTGAACAAATGAATGGCAAAAATCACTGTTGAGCTCGCGTAGCAGGAATGACTCCAGCGTATTCACATCTGGATCCACAACAGCCGTCCTGGAGAGTGGCGACAATGTGGTTCCTATAACTGCCCGAATTTAACAAGTTTTCTGACCTAAATACTTTGAAAGGGGAAAGAAAGGAAATCATTCCACACCCTCATGCCAGACTATCTTCATAAAGTAGGCCCACTTTAACTATACCTAAGGAAGTTCCCATATACTCTACCTAGAATCTGAACACTAAAGGAGACACTGGGGATGATGTCATCAGACGGTCTCTTGTTAAAGAAGAGTAAACTGAGGCTCTTTCCTTTAAATTTAGATTTTGTTGACATAATAATTATTAGAGGAAGTTCAGTGGTTGTCTGTACATGCATACAATATACCCTGACCAGTTAATGAAGCAGTTTAAGTCTTAATAACAGAGAGCTGAATTTCAACTGTGCCCAGACTTCCTTCCTAGGGCACTTCCCTTGTCCTCTGGGCCTCCCCTTCTTCGTATATACAGAGCTAATAACAGAATCCCATGAAGTTCAGTGTGATGAGAGAGTGCACCCCAAGGGCTGAGCATAGTGCCCAGTATACAGTAAACACTCAGCAAGCATTGCTTACTAATATTAAATTTGACTTCATGTGGAAGGAAGCCAAACCCTAGTAGTACCTTTTCATCAAGACTAAGACCGCTTACCCCGTCTCTTCCCTGCCTAGCTCCTGGCACTAGTCGTTCCCAAGTGTCAGCCCTTGTAAGATGGACTGGTTCTGTTTCTACTCTTGGGTGACTTGGGATTTGTTTTTATCCCTTAAGCCCCAGTAAAGTAGTCAGAGCACTCAGATTCCCTTCAAGATGTAGCAGCATCTATATCGGGCATGGAAAGGGGGATGAGAGTAGTTCCTTCCGTGTACAGGCTCCCAGAACAGACTTTGTGACCGAGGGAAAGGAGACCAGCAGAGGGCTTGGAGTACCCGGGGGAAGTTGGTGTCCATCAAATCTCTTGTAGTCTTTTAAGCTCTGAGCTTTGCCTCGAGCCTACCCCAGCTTTGATGGCCATGGCAATGGAGATATGGGAAGCCTTGATGTGAGCAAAGACTCCTTGTTTACAGGTCTAGAATCCTCTAGTTCCGAGAGTTCAGGCTGTGGGTTATAAACCCACATTCTTCCTGGTGTGGACCATGGGATCCCGGTTTCTCCCAGCCCAGGACCTCCTAGTACTACCACACTCTGCCAGGGAAGAAGCTGAGTTTGGCTTGGAGGGGTTTCCAAGGCTAAGGTTTCTTCCCAGGGTATCATGTGTGTTATGGGGGCAAATTGTCGTGCGTTGTGTAAGCTCACCGAGAAGCAAACTCTGGAAGCAAGGTTGTCCCTCAGCACACTTCAGACCCAAGCATGTTTATGTGAAGCTTCCTCTAAAACCCCTGTCCTAGCCAGTGGTGGCGCACGCCTTTAATCCTGGACCTTGGGATGCAGAGACAGGCAGATCTCTGGGAGTTCGAAGCCAGCCTAGTCTACAAAGCAAGTTCCAGGACGGCCAGGGCCACATAGTGAGACCCTGCCTAGAAAATCCAAAAAATAAAAAACAAAACCCCTGTCCTGAACCAGGCTGGCCTTCTGGTTCTGTGACAGGGAGAAAGAAAAGCAGTTAGCAGCTGGGATCTTAAAAACATCATGCCCTTGAGACTAGTTTGAAGGTAAACCATTTCCAACCCAGGTACTACTGTTTATCCTACAATGTAAGGAGGGCTCCAATGGAAGCAGAAGGCCAGAAATTCAGCCATGAGAAGCTAAGCCACGGATGGAGAGCTCAACTGGGAACTCCAGCTGACTGCCTCAACTTCCCTGGATGATTGTGGGTACCTAATGTGAGGACATCATCTTTCTGTTGTTATTTATTCTTTTATTTGGAGTCTCACTCAAGGGACCCTTTGTTCTGTATAGGACTCTCTCAGTTGTGAACTCCAATGGGGCTTTCCCTGTCAGTTTCTGCTGGTTGTTCGTAAGCCCCTGATTTGATTCTACGTTTCCTTTGTGCTCTGAATTGGGATACTCCAATTACCTCTAGCATCTAGTTTGATGATATTTTTTGCTGTCTGCTGCTACTGTGCTCCTCACTATTTATTCCTTTATCTTTTGTTTGCTATCTACTTAATAAACTCACTCATTCAAAACTGATAGTACAGCTATCGTAGATCATTCTCCAGACCATACAGAACACATCATCCCCCCAGGAGGGGCCAATTTCAATTGTTCTGGGAAACAGGTGAGGCCCCGTTGTACAGGGCCAATAGCAGTTGTCATAGGTCATGGTTTCCAAAGATGAGCGCAACAGCATGCAATGGCTTCCGTGTCTGTAGGTTATATCGTAGATTCAATTAATTACAGATAAGAAATAGTTGATAAATAAAGTGCCTGTAATGAACAAGTCCAGGCGTTTTTGCTCCCCATTATTTCTAAACGACATAGTATTAGCAACTATTTACACAGCATTTACATTGTGCTCAGTGGTCTAAGCAATCTAGAGATGATTTCAAGCATGTGGGAGGATGTCCATAGACTGCTTGTAAATACTATGCCTGCCAGTATCAGCATCTCCATCCTCAGATTTGAGGCTCTGCAAGGGGTCCAGAACTATCCTCTGTAAATATGGAGGGACACACACACACTTGCACGCACGCATATACACACACCTCATGCTTGCTCTTCTTTTAATGGGATGTTGATATTGTTGAGAGGTGGTGAGGAGTGTGGACCTCTGGACCTGTTTTTATGGACAGGATGAAGTGGGGCTATTTGGCTTTATATAGCAGGTCATGAAAGGCAACGAAGCCTCTACCTGGTTTTTTGCTTTCCCTGAGGCTACTTTGCCTTGAAGTTTAGCAGCCATATTGTAAGGAAGCTCAGATCAGGTGAAAAGGCCATGAAGGTCTGACTAATGGCTCTCAAGAGCTAGTACCAAAGCCCAGGATTTTGAGGGAACAAGCCTGTGGTGGTTATACTGCATAGCTTTTGAGTTGCCATAACTGAAATCCTGTAACCAGTAGACAGAGACAAGCTGTCCTCTCTATTCCTAAATAAAGTCTTGACTCACAGAGTTTTTGGGCAGAATACACACTCAGCTATTGTGTTTGTGTGCCAGTTTGTTACATAGACTAATAGCCAAGACACCCCTAGAATAAAACTCTCCCTGTTGTTTCCAGCAAATCCAGTATCTTTCCACTGTTTCCAGGCAAATCTGGCTATTACTTGCTTCCTCTGAATTCCTTCGGACACTTCAGATATTCTGTCTCTTCCTTTCTTATCTTGTCCCTGTCACTCTGCAACTACTCTCTCTCTTCTGTCTCCCTCTCCAAAGGGCAGGATCCTCGCACCTGAGGTGGCTTGGGCAACTACTACCTGAAAAACCTTTGACTCCTGCCCATCAAAGAGCACTGGACCTGCTCTTAGGCTCCTCGCTGTAGGTCCAAGAGTGTCCCTTTGCCGGAGCTTTTCCCGGGTTTCGGTGCCCACTGCTCAGATTGGCCGCCTTCCCCGCACAATGCAGAAGGAAGATACAATTTCTCTGCCGCTCTCAGCTCTCATTAAGGTTCACGCTCAGCTTGCTCCTTAAACTTGTCTTGACTTATGAGGTCCCAGTAACCTCCCATATGAGGAGACATCAATTCTCACAGAGGTCATCTAGCTCCCCCGACCCACATCCACACCCGCACCTCTATGCCCAGTTCTAGGCAAGCTTTCCTGGAACAGGATGGAGAAAGGCACCCCTCCCAACCCCTCCAGCCTGGGAATTTGACCACTCCAGAGCTAGGGCTTCAGAGGAGGTGCCCTGGGAGCAGAGGCCCGTCAATCACTCACTCAGGCAACCAGCACTGAATTGCAGGCCATTAGGCAGAGGACCGGCGCCCTGCTCACTCACCGGCTAGTCATCGGCAGGATGTTAGCCGATCGCAAGCCGGCCATTCTTATGATTTATTCAAACACTCATTACAGTCAATCTATTTTTACACAGAGGTGAAGATGTGCACTGATAACGGTTAATCATTTATAATTCCATGGACTGGTTGAAAGCCAATGTACTATCAAAGTCGCAGTGGTAGTACCTCAGCCTCAGGTAGCCCCTGAAGCACAGTAGAGGAGTCTCTATGCCGGCCCAGGGTAACCCAGTCACCCGCTAAGACTTATCAACTGAAAACCAGGAAGAAGGTGAGTCCCAGCCCTGCCCCCACCAGGAGCTCATGCCCTGCTGGACAGAGCACAAGTCAGAGGAGTGGGCAGTGGGGTAGCGCTGCAGAGACCCAGACGGGAGAGGTCACAGTGAGCTGGAATAACCAAGAAATGGTGGACAGAGCAGGCTTCGGCCACGAGCTACAAGTGGGCAGGCCGACTGATACCGAGTGTGGCGGCCAACACTGAGCCCGCCAGCCTCCGATGAGGTGGAGTCGTTTGAGTGCTGAAGGAAGGAAGAGATCGGCAGTGTTTCCTTTTCTATCCTTTGTACATCCCCAGAAATAACTGACCAGAAAAGAGACCATGAGCTAGGAGCATGGCCTGGACTGGGGCCTAATGTCCTCCATTCTTCCCTGCACCCCTTCTTGGGCCACAGACAGAAGTGGCTGAGGATCAGGTTGGCCTTGAGAACTCAGTGACTTCCTTCCCCAGCACTCACGACACGTGTAACATATCAACTCTACCTTTATGTCCAATCGATACAGTCTAATTAAACAGCATGTCATATTACAGAGCCTCGTTGTCGCCTTCAGACGTAATCTAATTAGAGACCCCGCTGTATTTTACGTTGTGACCGGTTCATTGTTCAGTGTGTCTCTTCTGCCATGTGCAGCAGGTAAGGATCAGGCTTGAGGCTGGTCCTGAACCCATCACTTTATAAGGTCGGTGTGGAAAACACCAATCAAAGTTACTTACAGTTTAGGGCCTCTTTTCTGGTGAGCAGCATGGAGGACAGAAAGCCTTAAAGTCTTGTTCCAGGCGTCACCTGCCAATAAAAGGAGACATGTTTATAGACTGGGTAAGACTCTGCTGAGGTGACCAGAGGGTAAGAAGCAGGGTAGGCATGGGGTGGACCCAGGGGTGAGCCTGCCAAACAGCAAAGCTGGGACTAGCAGCCCTGTGACCACAGAGGAGAAAAAAAAAAGAGCTCTCGGTGGCTAAATGTTTCAAGCTGTCCAAAGCGATAACTGCTGACTGGAACGTCTCACCTGGGGGAAGACCGTGTGCTGGGAAACAGAGCTGAGAGCCCGTATGAATGGCTGAAGGATGGGCAGGAAAGGCTGCACAAGGCAAACAAACAAAATGGACCCCATTGCTCATGGTGAGAAGATAAAAGTCTTGCAGCAGGAGGAAACTTTTTTGTTCATTTAAAAAAAATTTTGAGATTATAATATAATTACACCATTTCCTTTTCCCAACAAGAGGAACATAAGGTAAAAAAAAGTCCAGTTGAGTAGGAATGAAAATCTGCATGGAGAGGCATGATGGGGACAACTTAGAAAAGAAATCTAACTATTTTTATTTTCTTTCTGGGATATTTAAAAAAAACAGAAGCATATGTTTATCAGGTGTTTGCTCCATGCACTGAATGTACAAACAACAGGATCCTTGGGTCCTGTTTTTAAGGTGTTACCAGCACCTCACTGGGGAAGTAAGCTTGCCCCCAAGAAAGAATACCAGTGAAGGCAGCATTGTGCAGAGTTATGCTAAGTTCTGGCAGAGAACGTCGATCTCTCTCCACCATGCAATGAAGTTAGCAGGGTTGAAGCACTCAAGGGAAGTTTCACAGGAGGTAGGATATGAGTCTGAACAGGCATGACTCGGCTGGTGGGAGGGAGAGGGTGTCAAGCATGGAGCGTTTCCACTTAAATGTCTCCCAACGGCCGGCGTGTCAGAAGTTTGGCCGCCAGAGTGGCACTATTAGATGGAGAGGCAGAGCCAAGTGGGAGGTATTTAGAACACTGACGGGCCTGGAAGTGGATGGTGTGACCCCAGTTTCTCCCTCTTTGCCTTCTGCTCTTCAGTCAGAAGGTGAGCAATTTTACTCTGCCGCACACCATGACACAGGTCCAAAGTCATTTGGCCAATCAGCTATGGAGTAGACCCTCCAAGACGATCAGCCAGAATCAGCCTTTCCTCTTTATAAAATGATTGTCTATGATCCTTTGTGATAGTGATGAAAAGCTGACTTACACAGGGACATGCTGAAAAAGGGGGGTCATCTAAGGAAAGACGAAGAGAGGAGTGTGGAGGGCCCTGGGACAGGGTCAAGGTTTCTCTGCTTGGTGGATTCTAAAGGGAGAAACGATGCCAAGCAAGCACAGTGGTCTAAACCACCCAGGACTCTGAGTATTGGGCAAAAAAAATCAGGTCTGGCTTCAGAGCTCCTAGTTACTGAAAGCTGTTTTGGTAAGGACATAGTAAGACATGGTTCCACTCTCCCACTCACTTGGGCATTCCCCCCCCCCCTTTTTTTTTTTTGGATTTTCGAGACAGGGTTTCTCCGTAGCTTTTGGTTCCTGTCCTGGAACTAGCTCTTGTAGACCAGGCTGGCCTTGAACTCACAGAGATCCGCCTGCCTCTGCCTCCCGAGTGCTGGGATTAAATGCGTGCGCCACCACCGCCCGGCTTTGGGCATTTCCTCTTTAACTAAGACAAGAAAGGCATCTTGGGGAAAGGTAGACTTTCAATTAGCTGCAGGCATGAAGTATAGCAAGACGCACACATGGAAATAAATTGTCCCTCTTATCCACGATACACTCTAGGCAAAGGCTCTTTTGTGGCTGTCTACTAATGGCTGTATTATTCATGGTCATAGTTGGTGCAGGTCCCTCATGAAGAAGACCATGTCACTAGACTGTTAGTCACTGAGGAAAGGAAACACATCTTACGTATCTTTATATCCCTAGAGTTCTGCAGAGTGCCTCAAATGAGCCAGATTCCCAGTAAGTATCTGCTGAGATGTTGAACGATGGACACTGTTCCCTCCAGAATCTGTAAGAGCGAGCAAGTGCCAGCTCTTAGTTGGCGGGGGTCTCTAATGTGTATTCTTCTTCTGTCCTTCCACATTATTTCTGAACTGGGGACACAGTCTCTAGAGTCTATTAAATGAGGCAGTGTGTTCTGTCTGCCCTTCTGTACTGCTCATCCGAGGCACCAGTAACTTAGAAACTATAGCGGACTTTTCTTCTGCACACGATACAAAGCCAAGAAGGGAAGCATCTATGCTAGAGGATCGGAATCCAGATTGCCCTAAGGCACTGAACGAGCTAAAAAGATGGCCTAAACTAGAACATTCATTTTTCCATCACCAGCTTTTATTTCTCACACACCAACATCATGACAACCACAAATGAAATAATTTTGAAAGTCAGGGGCAAAATTGCCCACAATCTCATTACTTAAACCATCAAATTATACTCTATGTTCACATGCAAATCCATTTTCTTAATAAAATTGTAGGAAATGATTTGACAAGTATATGCACACAAATCTTGGCTCTTATACTAAAAAAAAAAAAATCAACTGCAGAACCAGAACGGGTTGAATCAGTTTGAAAAACAACAGAAGAACCTTGGGTCATCTGAGTTCAGTGCAAGCTCAGGATATGCTGTTGACGCTGCCAAGTTGCTGAATGTGATCTCAGTAGCTGTACAGTGTCTGGCTGAGCTGTGAGTGATGTCCTTTGGACTTAGCAGCTCATATTAGTTCTGTATGCCGTAATGTTGTCTTTTTTAAGAACTTTGACAATGATGAGTAAAAGAAAGAGAAAAAAAGATGTTTGGTGGTTAAAATCTAGTGGTTACAAGGGCCTACATGTTTCAATTTAAACTTGATCATGGGCAAGTTCCTGAATCTCTCTGTGCCTTAGTTTTTCATATTTAAGTTAGAACTGGCAAAACTCGATTCTCAGAGTGGCTGTGGGGTTGGGAGGTACCATACAACCTAAGGTGTCTTAGAATAGCGTCCCATACAAAATGAGCACCTGCTGGGCACCAGCTATTATTGCATTCTTTTCATGGGAAGAGGCTGGGAGGTAGAAAACAGAGGAGAAACAGGACCTGTATCTGTCTTTTGTCGCTCTTAGTAGTACCCCCTGGTAACAGAGATAGGAATACCAGTGCCTAAAGCAACCTGCTCCTCTTCCTCATGGTAGACTGCCAAATATGTAAAGAAACCACGAAAGAGGGACTGCCTTATTCTAGAAAGTAGGCTCAAGACTAATAAAGGACGAGAGAGAGAGAGAGAGAGAGAGAGAGAGAGAGAGAGAGAGAGAGAGAGATAGTCTTCACATACAAGGGATTCCCTAATAATGAGAAACATTCATAAATGAATAAGGCTCCACTCCAAATAGTGACTGGAGGAGCCTCCTGCACTAGGTTAAATCTGTGCCAAAGAACGATGTCCCAGATTTGGCCTTCAGCCATTAGCAAAAGAAAACGCACGTACATTTGAGAGAGAGAGAGAGTGTGTGTGTGTGTTTAAAAAGCAGCATTTCTAACTTCTGTGAGCATGTATGTATGATGTGTAGCCCATGTGTGTGCATGTTTGCAGGTATGCACAAATGCAGAAGCCAGGTGAGGACTTCAGGTAGCTGACCTATCACTCTGACCCTTACTCCTTCAAAACAGAGTTTCTCACTGAACCTGGAGCTCATAGTTTTTGACTAGACTGGTAATCAGCAAGACCCAGCATTCCCCCCGCCCCCACGGCACTGGGGTTACAGGCTCGTGCAAGATCATAACCAGCTAGTTATTTGAGTGCCAGAATCTGAACTTAGGTCTTCATGGCTGTACACGCAATGTTCTTAACCTCTGAGCTATCATAAAAGCCCTCATAATTCATATTTTGATAAAATATTAATTGTGCCACCTTTCACCATCATCTCATAAGGCAATTCAGCCTGCAGAAGCAGAGCAGATAGCTTAGAGTTGAGGGTCATCCCTGCAGTGGGGTGACTAAAGTATCATCCAGATCATATCCTCTCCCAACAGTCAGCTGCACATAGTAACTCTCGGTAGTTGTGACAGCAAGCACAAGGCCTGCACGAGTTCCAGCCAGGCCACATTCAAGCATGGACGGGGGTGGGGGGATGGGCTAAAATCCACCCCCACCTGAGGAACTGTTGGCATTTGGTAGCTTCTAGGAGAGTCACCTTTGTTTAATGATGTGACCCTTGGAAGCCTGACCACACTCCAGGGCAGGCCTCACCCCCAAGAGAAGTAGTGTAACACAAACTGGACTCCGTGGGAGAAAAGAGCAGCGTGTAGCGCAGTGAAGGTAGAGAGGGCAGATATGAGAGGAGTTGAGGGGTGAATTATGATCAAAATACAGGGCATTGAATTCTCAAGGAATTAATATAACTATGTCAAGTCACATTCTCTCCCTTTTTCCCTCGTCTCTGGATTTTCATCTGCATGCCATCTTTGTTTCTTTGTCTCCAAATGTCTGTCTCTCTTATCATCTGTCTCTCTGTCTCTGTCTCTCTCTCTTTCTTTCTGTCCCTCCTTCTTTTCTTGTTTTTTTTTTAACTCTACTTGTTTCTTTTCTCCTCACCTCATTGAAATGGATTTTTAAAAATTATGTAATATATTTTAATTATGGTTTCTCCTCTCTCTACTCCCAGTTCCACTCAATCTCCCCTCCCATCCAGGTCCACTTCTTTTCTGTCTCTGATTAGAAAATGAACAGGCGTCTAAAGATATTAATAAAATATAATATAATTACATAAAACAAATGCTGACACATTGGAAAAGGACAAACAAACAAACAAAAGGAAGAGAGTGCAAGAAAAAGCATAAGAAACAGATATAGGGGGCTGGAGAGATGGCTCAGTGGTTAAGAGCACTGCCTGCTCTTCCAAAGGTCCTGAGTTCAATTCCCAGCAACCACATGGTGGCTCACAACCATCTGTAATGAGATCTGGTGCTCTCTTCTAGCCTGTAGGCATACATGCAGAATACTAAGAATACTGTATACATAATA